ATTCTATTCTATTCTATTCTATTCCATTCCATTCCATTCCATTCCATGTATTCTATTGTATTCTATTCTTTTCTATTCCATTCCATGTATTGTATTATATTATATTATATTGTGTTCTATTCTATTCCATTCCATTCCATATTTTCTATTCTATTCTATTCTATTCTATTCTATTCTATTCTATTCTATTCTATTCTATTCTATTCTATAATGAAATGTTAGCAAGAAAACAACTAAGAGCACTGAAGATCCCACAGTTTAGCCCTGAGCTACAAATATTCTCCTTTATCGGAAATTCTATCTTATTGTAGTTGCTACAAGGAAAGGACCCAAAACTCAATATATTACTTTTGTACCCTCTAATAAACAAAATTCAAGAGAACAGGAGTGCAAAAACAAAAACAAAACCCCAAAACAATGCTGCCACCTGGCAACTAAAAAAATATGCTGAATGGTTATCTTCTCTCAACCAGCTGGCACCACAGCTCCTAGGACAACCTGTGCAGCTCCTTCAATGCATCCAAACTTAATTATTATTGCAGAATACCACTGTATTTTTCATGAGGAACTTCAGGAATCTTTGTCTCGGGCAGATAAAAAGGTATGCCTGTATTTAATATTTAGAAGCAGAAAACGTTGACCGCAGGTCAATACTATACCTTCAAGCTCATCGATTTTTTTGGCAAAAACTTTCAGCTGCTTTTTCAGTTTCCGCACCGTCTTGTCCTGCTTCTCCATCTGTTCCATCAAATCCTACCCAACAAAATTGAGGACAAAATGGGTGAGAGGCTAAAAAAAGAAGGAGCAGAAAAGCAACAGACCAAACAGAAACCGGCGCCGCTAGTGCTGCAAGAGAAAACTCAGGACCAGCTGGGAGGCAACGCCACCATTTGGCTAATATCGGCAAGCCTGGCGTTTTTATATAAAAATCTTGCTTTCAAAGAGAGGGACGGAAAATGCATGCAGCCTGACAGAGGATTTACGTGAACCTCGTTCAAGAGATGCAACAAATCCCGTATCCTGGTTTCTGGCAGATTCTCTCCCACAGGGCTTAAGGGGATTGTAGCACCTGGTAGTAGTCATCATTAAACCTTACAGGAACATTTGGCCTGTCCCTATTCTGGATGGATTTGCCGAGACAAAAATAATCTGGTCCTTTCCATATTGTTTTTATCGTAAGGTTAGTGACGTTCTACTGGAATATTGCAGTAGAAAAGCAGGCCCGGAGGAGAGAATTTAAACATGATGCTCTCTTATGCCCATTTTCTTATGTCTCACTCGATCCTCCCAACGACCAGCCACGCTTACTGGGAATTCCGCATGCAGCACTCGCCCGAGATTTCTGGAAGGTCATAGCTTGTGGGAAACTACTCCCAGGTCCCTCCAAGGTATTGCGTGAAAATTAGCGAGCTGCAGATGCTTTGTTGGGATTCGTGCACATGTCGCAACTAACTGAATACACACCTGATTGGATGCTTTAAAACAGGCTTGTCCAACCCGTGGCCCGCGGGCCGCATGCGGCCCAGGTCAGCTCGTAATGCAGCCCAGTGCCCACCCCAACCTTCGTGCAAGAGGATGAGGCAGCGAGGAGGAGGAGGAGAGGTAGGCATAAGGTGGGTGAGCTTTCTCCCCCACCCCAGGCCCCCGCGTTCCTTTCTCCCTGGTTGACTATTTTTTATGCTATCTTATGAAAAAAATGTTTTCTATGGTTTTTTTGGATGATCAGGTATCGTTACTGTTATTTTATTTTATGTGCAGCCCAAACCAAATTTTCATCTTCTAATGTGGCCCAGGGAAGGTGAAAGGTTGGACAAGCCTGCTTTAAAAAAAAAAAAAGAATATAAGGCCTTAGAACAGAGGTCTCCAAACTTGGCAACTTGAAGACTTGCGGACTTCAACTCCCAGAATTCTCCAGCCAGAGAAGAGGAGGAGGCCTCAAGCTCAGCTTAGAAAGTCATGGCTATCAACAAGGCTTCAAAAAAAACCCTCCTTTCTTTGTCCTCTTCCCCGAAACCTTGGAAGTACAGCTGGGTTTTTCGGACTAACGAGTTATGGAAAGTCCCTTACCAGGTTTTCGTTGGTCAGGCGGGTGATTTCATGCTGCAGGCTGGCCTCTATTCGGGCTTCTGGGGGCAGCTGGAGGTTCTGGGCCAGCAACTGCTGTTGGCGGTTGTTCTCCTCCTTCAGACTCTGGATCTCTCCACGGAGGGCCTCCAGATCATTCTCATGGCTTCTCTTCTGGGCCTGCAGCTGAGATTCCAGAAGCCTACAAGAAGCCAATTGACGAAGGCCAAGAGGGAAGAGAAAGTCGGGAAGAAGAAGAAGGAGGAGGAGGAGGAGGAGGAGGAGGAGGAGAAATGGGAGAGAAGGATGGGAAGGAGGGAGGAAAGAAGAAGAAGGAGGAGGAGGAGGAGGAGGAGGAGGAGGAGGAGAGGAAGAAGAGGAGGAGGAGGAGGAGGAGGAGGAGGAGGAGGAGGAAGAAATAAACCAGCACATTTTAAAGACTTTCTCATCACAGATTGGGCATTTCAATTGCTGCTGACAGGAGTAAGCGACCGACTGATCAGGGAAAGAAAGAAAGCCAGAAGAAGGTTCTTTAAACCCTTTTGAGTGTCTTGAGGCTGAAGCTTTGCTTGACTTGACTATGGAGACTGAGTCAAGTTGTCCCAAAGGTGCTTTAAAAAAACAACAACAAGACAACTGAACTTTGTTTTTCCTCAAAGATGTTTCACTTCTCTTCCAAGAAGCTTCTTTGAGAAACGAAACGTCTTCAAGGGAAAAAAAGAGTCCAGTTACCTTTTGAAAAAGCACCTTGGCTTGACTGACTTCACCCATGCAGCAGAACTAAGGCTGATTCTGCACAAGCATGTTTGGGCATTCGGGTTTTCTTTCCAAAATAGCTGAATTACAAAACTACGAAGCAGGTAGATCCTTCTGGAGAGCTGTTTCTCAATCTCATCCAGTTTAACATGTTCCAGCTTCTAGAATTCTCCTCCTAGTAATTCTAGATGCTGAACTCCACGCAAAGCTTGAGGCTGGTGTAAATGCTACTTTACAGCCACATCTATTGCAAAGAGGACAACTTGGGGGAGGTGGGGACGTCTATGGGGCACTATTGGGAGGGCAGAAAATCTACAACTGGCAACAATTAGTCAACAGGATTGCATATACCATCTAACTGAAGTTTATTACAAATAAATACAATTTGGTGACTGCTACATTTTTATCATCCTGGGGAATATTTCGATTTTCTGTCTCAAGACACTTAACATCTTAGGCTAATGCTGGTCCCTAAACCCCAGTGAATTATTAAGTAACCCTAGCCCTTAAAGAGCCCTACAATTGGTTTCCTATAAGCAAAAGGGACAAATAAATTTATTACAGTGAAGATGTATTTATTAAGCAGTTCTTACTCTTCGGGATTACTCTGCTCAGAGTGAAACAGAAATATCCTAACTAAAGCAAAAATAACCCACATGGATCAGAGGCTTTGAAAGATTTTCAGAGCTTTGGTTTTAAAAGGGATATTACTGCAGATCCAATATCAGAGAAACTAATAAGGTGGGAAGGAAATCCTGTGCTACTAATTCAAAGTACAACCTGGGGCAGGTGAACCAAAGATTGATTCACCTCATGTCAATTGCGAGAGGAAACAAATAAATACATACATATAAAGAATAAATAATCATTATCAATGCTAGCACTGCATTTCCTACAAACAGGTGCTATCTCAACTATCTAGACACAGTCTTTCAGGGTTTAAATATGTCTAAGCAGATCAGCTAAGAGCTACATTGACTAAGCACATGAAGGTAAACGGGGATAATTTACCTTCCGTTTCTTTGCCATTTGCTCTAGAACCTTCCAGCAATTCTACAACACGGGGACAAAGAAACGAAAAGCTGCAGTGCCACCTTTCCCTCCGCTTTCCCTGCCGCGTAGACCAAACCCTCCCCCCCAAGTTAGCTTCTTGCAAACTTACAAAAGGATGCAGTTAATTGTACGTGTTTTGTTAGCAGTACAAGAAAAGGAAAGAGACCGGTTAAGCTGGCATTCTTGGCAAAAGTAGCATTTTGCGTGTTGTTTGACTGAGCTAAAAATGAAACTTTCATTATCACTTGGCTACCAAAATAGCACAAAACAAGAAAGTTTTAGAGAATATAGGTGTATATTTAAAATCTGACTTCTCCATTCTCCAATAAGTGGATGCATTCAGTGGCTATATTTACAGAACAGGGGGCACGTGCTGTGTTGAGATTATTTTCAAAGTGGCCTGAATCTGATTTTTTTGGAAACGGTCTGCAGAATAGCTACAGGATTTGGAATGACTTAAACTGACAAGCAAATAATAGGTTGAATTACTTGTATGTTTCATTCCGCTAATCTTAGGATAGGTACAGGACTATGCGTTTTGAACTTTATCTTTCTGTTTTTAGACTATGCATTCTTTTTGGGAGATCAATAACTAAGTTTGGTTTGCCACCTTTTCTAGCTGACACCAAGATTTCAGGGACTCTCTGAGAAATAGGTCCACTTAATACTGCAAATCCCCATAAATTGTAATAGCAGATACTGTAGTTCCTCTGTCTATTAAATATTTTGATGGAGATCATCCAGGCAGCGAAGCCAGCAGAACAAACAAAAAAATTCACCTTCTTTCCAAATAAAGAAACAAAATTCCATAGGAGAAGAACGTGTTAATTAATGTCAGAACAACAAGAGTTTGTCCTCTAGTAGAAAACATGGACATATTTTGTATTTATTGGCTGTGATGGACTTCTTTCCATCATATCCTCACTTGTCCTATCCTGATGAAGTTCCCAACTTATAAATGGATTCTGCTTCTTCTTTTAAAGTTTTACACAAGTCAGAAGATTCCTAGACATGTCAGTCCTAATGCTAGATTTCTTTCTAATATGAGGCTTAGATGCCCAAAGCCCTATTGAGCCAGGCAGTATGTAAATCTTATTAATACATAAATGCACACTCTTCTCTCTCTTCCTTTAACGAACACATTTGGATGGAATTGCCAAAAGCAGCCCCACAGCATGTTAGTGACACAAGAAGGCAAGAAAGAATGCAACAACACCACCCCCATCCTGAGAAATCTGGTAACCTGTTGGCTTGTTTCAGCCCTTCATATACCAGCCATAGTTCGCCATCCTCGTTCAGCAAATGACAGTCTTGAGGTGATCTTCCAAGAGATATTTTTTTTAAATGCAGAAACAAAAACAAAAAAGTGATGGAAATGATGGGACATGTTAAGTAAAAGGACAATGCAAGCTGAAGAGTGTAATTAGGAGACAAAAAGAAGTAATCTTTTTTTGGTCTCAGTAAATATTAATTCCAAGCTATTTACTCATCCGATGTCGTAGAGATCCTAATATCTAAATTTAAACAAAAATGCAACCTTCCTAACTTGTATTTGTGTAATCCTACCTAAATCTATTGATTTCACTGGGACTTCCTCCAATGTGAATATAGAACTATGTATTTCGTCTATTACTATAGAAGTAACACAGTTGTAAAAGATAACCTGAGTACAATCCAGTTTGATAAGATGTGTTCAGATAAAGCTGCTTTATTTCAGATTCATTAAACCCAAACAAATAAGCCACATTTTTATTAGATCCAGATAAGAAGGATTTTACACAGCGCAAATAACTGAAGAAGGGAAGAATCTTCTCAGACTTATTTATTCACTGTGACAGGAGGCCAATGTAATATTTCTGGGCAATAGATGCCAATCAGAAAGTATTTTCACTGCTGTTCTGCTTAAGGGCAGGTCTGATACTGCAACCAAAGTTGGCAAGAAAGAGTACCAGTACCCTACATTATTTACCGGCTTCTTTCTATCCCTGGAACAATTTTGCATTTTAAAATAGTTTTTTTCCCCCTTTGTACAAACAATGCTAAGAGATAAAAATCAAGGCACAGCATTAAGCTGTATTTTTACAAGAGGATTTAGCAAATTTCAGAATAGTGTATCAAAACCACAAAAGGCTTTTCAAACATCAAATTCAAGCTTATTTCAGGTTTATTTTCCTATGAAAGCTGAAGGCATTAAAACCATCTTGCTCTTTAGAGAGATTCAAATTAAAGGACCCAAAATGTATACGTTTAAAAATCAAGATTTATGGCCTGAAAATGCTGGAGGTGTGTAAAAGGTTTTGAATTCAAAATACCCTGTTTGGAGCTTGAAGCAATTATCCCATATTCAAGATGGGCTGTTATGGTCCTTTTGGAAGCGGTTCAGGGCTCAGGGTATTAAATCTTAAGTTACAAGCACTTCCAAATACGCTGTTTCAAATGCTAAATGGGACTTTTCAAATTCAAAATAGCTCAACAGTTGAAATGTTCTGTACATTTCATAAGGCTGGAGAGGAGGAGGATGGGAGCCAAAAAGACAGAGAAAAAAATAGAGATAATAATTAATGTTGGGAGACAAAAGTCCAAGATTTTTAGTAATGTACCTGTTTGTCTCCTTCAGGCCAATGTAAGCTTGAGCGATCTCTCCTTTGTCCTTCAGCTTCTGAACATCTTCCAGAAGAATTGTAGAGTCTGTCATGGTGTTCTGAGAATAATCAATGGAAGGACAAATGAGAACGATTCAATAGTACATGCTTAAGTACAGGATTGTCTCAGCAGCAAATAAACTGTGCAATACAATCATTATTTAGTTATCACTAATGGTAGACTTGTCTACGCTGCTCTTCCAGAGGAGTTGCTAAAGCAATTTGATCTAAGTGCGTTGGCCCAACATCAAGAGGTGGCTTGAGTCCAAGTCTTAATTGAGTCATGAACTTCCCTAGCTGATCTTTGGCCCAATCATGCACTCTGTCTCAATTACATATCCCAGGGCTGTTTCAAAGCTGTGACAGATTCAGCAACGGAATAAAAAAAAAAAAAAGTTCCTTGATATAGGAGAAGAGATAGCAGAACTGGCGTGTGTGTGTGTGTGTGTGTGTGTGTGTGTGCGTGTGTGTGTGTGTGTGTGTAGTGAAAAGGGGGAATCAGCCTAAAATGCCTACGTAGTCGCAAGAGAAATAAGTTCAACCCCTCCCCCTCAAGTGCTGCTGAGCCTTATTTACCTTTTAGCAGGTATTGACCATTAGTTGGGAAGATTCCTGCGCAGAGGTTTTAAGCAATAAATCAGCTTCACTGAACCTTTGTGTGTGGACCTGATCTTTCTTGTATAGCTTAAAGAGCTTTAAGGGGAACTTATTTTTCTTTTGGAGATTCTTATTTTAGGAAAGCTACTGCCAAAGTAAAAAAAAAAAAAATACTACAATTATAATGTTCTGCAGATCAAAACATCCCTTGTTCCTTTCGTGGGCTCAATTCGGTGGCTTGCTTGAACGCATTTAATATGGACACATGGCAAGTTTACGAGGGTTCCAGCATTAAGAAATAAAATTATGTGCAGCAACGTTACCTTATCATCCTGGTAATCCATGTGCAAGCAGGAAAATAAAGAGACAGGCTAGTTATCTAACACGCATACTCATTAATTAAAGTTGATGGATGAATAAATGCAACTGCGTCAGTTGCTATCCTAACACATTTCAAAGGAAGCCGCTTCTTGTTGGAGATTGCTAAACTCTAAAACGGGGGTCTTGGCAGCTTTAAGACTTGTGGACTTCAATTCCCAGAATTCCCCAGCCAGCATGACTGGCTGAGGAATTCTGGGAGTTGAAGTCCACAAGTCTTAACGTTGCCAAGGTTGGACACCCCTGCTCTAAAACTTCAGAAAGGCCATTCCAGATGATTGTGGTAAGCAAATGGTAAGGAACTGAGCATGCTGGGCCCCCCTCCCTTCCAAAATCCCATAAATTAAGGCAACAGTTGATGAAGGACGTACTCAATGGTGAGAAGGAATAGCTTTCTGCAGTGCAAGAGTTTACACACGTAGCTTGCGCTGCTAATGAGCTATAGAAGAAAATCCATGCTAGTTATTTGGCTTGATTCTGGATTGTACTTCGGGAGAAAAGCAGCAATGTAACCTGCCCTCGTACTACCTAACGTGAATATGGATGACACCACCAGTTTTCTTTCTGTATTCACCTTGAACGGCACTGCTTCCTTCTGGCTCATCAGCTGAGACCTCAGGATGAGAACTTCCTCCTTGCGGACCTCCAGCTCCTCACTGACAGAGGTCATCTGGTCCAAAAGGACCCTGTATGCGGGGGCACCAGGCATCGTGACATCTGGAGCATTCTTTTCCATCAGGGCCTTCCTCAACTCGTTCAATTCGTTCTTTAGCTTCTTATTCTCTGACTCAAGCTCTTGACGCTGCAGGGTATCAGGTGGGAAGAAACAAACAAAAAAAAAACCAATTGTCCTCATTCACCAACGGTCCTAGTTGAAATCAAGATCAAGGTAAAGAAGCCAATTTTAGTTACTGATGGGTTTGATAAAATATCTCACAAATGAAGGTCTACTTTAATCCAGGTGAAACCCCTGTGCTTTCCATTTAAAGAATTCTATGAGTTGGTGGACTGATGAGGTCAGGAGAGACCAGTCTTTGTCTATGCATTGTCTGTTTTTTCCCCCCCACTAAAGAAATGGCAACCAGTTAACATATTCAGAGTGGAAACACTTTAAACCGGGGTTTTTCAAACTTGGCAACTTCAATGGTGTGTACTCCAATTCCCAGAATTCTCCAGCCAGCCAGGATTCTCAGAGTTGAGATCCACATATCTTAAAGTTGCTAAGTTTGAAAAACAGTGACTTTGCCTAGAGTGGAAAAGTAGTCCAGAAATGTCAGTACTTCCAGATCCACTGATGATGCATCACAAATTCCACGTACTTTTGTGACTGTGTCTCAGGCTAATAATTGAAATAACCAAATCACTACTGGCTTTCGGATTCCATTTATGCTTGTACCATAGTATGTACATGAAGCATGGGGACATTTTTTTTTTTAAAAAGTTCAGTAAATATCATTTAAATCTGTTTTTCTAATTTAGCCTATTTCAGGGATCCGAAGTAGAATATTTTTTACAACCTTAAGCGATTCGTATTCCAGTTCTGCTCCTCTCATCTGAGGTCTTTCTTCCTCCTGGAAAAATTTAAAGTACAAACCAAAATATTGCATTTTTAGAAACAAAACAATTTCAGGCATTATCAAGAATAAATGGGTACTTCAGTGAAGTCCCTGTATTCATTTTTAGGTAATTAGTAATGTTTATTTATTGTTTAAAGGTTTTAAGAATGGACTGAATTCTACAGCCGAGCCAAGAGAGATAGGGGACTGATTTTCAAAAGGTTACAATTACTAAAAGCATCACTGGTAGCTCTGCTGACTGTCTCAACAACATTAAGATAACAAGTTAAAAACTAGATTAAAACAGCTTTTAAAGTTTGTAAGGTCATGAGACAAAATACCATAAGAAAAAAAAAATATTCCGCCTTGCTTCTAACATCAATGGATCAAACCAACAAAAATTAAGGCGTGGACAACTGCAAGAAAGCACTAATCATGTTTTGTGTGTTCCTTAGTTACTTTCGGAATTTTGAGGAGGCTTTGGTGCTCCCTGTGCTTGGTTGTTTTCTTGCAGACATTTCATTACCCAGCTAGATAACAACATCAGTGCTAGAACGGAGTGGTGTTTATGCTAGCCCTTCTAGCACTGATGATGTTACCTAGTTTGAGTCAGGAAATGTCTGCAAGAAAACAACCAAGCTCAGAGAGCACCAAAGACCCCTCATTTCAACCCTGAGTTGCAAATATTATCTTGCATTGTTTTCCTCTGGAGGGAATCATGGAGCTACTTTCCACCCGCTGAATGGGGTATCATTGCTGGCATGGATCCCAACCGTCCCCCCATCCCCTGGACTAGAAGATGCGTGATCTTTTCCATCTTACCTTGGCTTTGTCCCGGAGAACTTGGTCCTCCTTCTTCTCCAGCTCATCCTGCAGGGACTGCTTTTCCAGCTCCAGCTCCTTCACTCGTTTTTGTAGTTTGAGGAAGAGAGACATGTCCAGAGGTGCCTTTTCACTTGGTTCCTGATTTAGAGGGCAAATGGGGAAGGGTGGAGATCAGAAAGTTTCCCAGCTACTGGAAGGAGGGGCAGATCTACACAGTGTTTGCTACCATTAAGAGAAACATGAAAGCACGTGGAAATAAGGACTTTCGGGAAAACGGGGCCCACAATGTAGAGGACCAACCCCGCGGCAGCAACATTGGAGCAGTAGCTGAAAATCTCTATAAGGAAAAAAATCCCAAGTTGGCTTTAAATGAGCACGTCAACATGCAAACGGAAGGGAAAAGTTAAGAATAAATGAAGAGAATGGGATGGGGGATGTATATATTTTGCTTGTTTAAAAGAGCTGCGTACGGACGTTCCAATTTTTTTTCAAATTGTTATTGTAGAAGTAAAAAAAAAATTCAAAAGGTCAGTCTGACAAACAAAGCTAATTTCAAAAGTATCGGTCCTAAAGCTTTAAAAAAAATGAAATCTAGTACACAATTCACGGTCCACAAAGATGATGTCTTTCTGCCTTATTTTTATGGAAAGAAAAAAACAACAACAGGTTGACAGTTAAGACCCCAATACAAATTATGAACACGCTAAGTTCTTGTCACTTTCTGATATTGAGATGTTTTTAAATCACAGCTTAAAAATATGACTCAGCCATCAAGTACTGAATATATAGAACATTTCTGGATATTCAAAAATGATCTCCGGAACTGATGAGATGATGACAAGATCTGCATCCCGAGCAAGGAAACTCCCGAACAAAATCACAAACATTTTCCAACCATACCTCTGTTCTCATTGGAAAGTCCTCAGCCTCCGCGATCTCAGAGCTGTAAGTATATTCTGATTCATTGCTACTATGGGTGGAATCCGTTCTCTTGTGCCCCGGTTTGGAAATACTCTGGGAAGGGAAGGAGAGCCAGCGTTAGCTTTGGTGCTTCTATGAGCTAAAGGTTTCCTGCACATTCATTGTTTCATCTCTTGGAGAGAATTTGGAAAAGCTATAGAGAAAAATGAAAGCTATTTGATAAATAAAATCAGGCGGAGAAGCAGCAAAAAGGAAGACGATTCAGGATGCCTTCCTTATTCACTACATTCACAATTTGTTTGATTGATTGATTGATTGATAAAGGGATGCCTTCCCTATTCACTCTGGTGATAGAGATATAGATAGATAGATATAGAAGATGATATAGATAGATAGATAGATAGATAGATAGATAGATAGATAGATAGATA